AATCTCTGTCTCATGCTCCACCTATCTCAAATTTCTCTTAATTCTCATTTTAAAACAATGTCACAAATGGTATAACACAAACATCCTTCTTTGTCATTTGAAATAGTAATCTTTAAAGTATTTTTATCTACTATGTTTCCCCTACCTTATTTCTTCATAAGAGCCTTGGAGATACGTATCAGGAAGGCAGGGAGAGTGGGAGGGAGAGAAAGAAGAAAAAGCAGAGAGGGAGAAGGCGGGGAAGTCTCTCCTGCTTCTCGGGATCAGTGGTAGAACTCCTCATTCCCACCTTCCCACATCAAAATCCTTGGGTTTTGCTCTATAGAGTCTATAAAACATCTTCGTAACATAATTACAAGGGCCTATGAATATAATAAGAGGCTTGTGCAGCAACAACACTTGCTCTTCAAATTGCTCTTTCATCTGCGTGAGCAAGACTCTGTTTGTGAGAGACCTGGCCAAGGACAAGGGTACGGTCTGGGCAAAGCCTCCCCTAACAGCTGCAAGGTTGTCTGAGCACTAGGCTGAACGGCAATCGAGCAGCCTTGTCAGTGGATATCAACTGTGGGCTCAGCCGTCCCCCAGACACTGTGGCATGCAAAGATGCGCACAATAGAGTGCCTGCCCTCGTGGAGTTTACCGTAAGGTAACACTGAATTAAGTGTCAGTACACACTAGAACGTAGGGTGTACGTGAATGAATGCTGTCTGTTCCGAGAAGGCGAGCATTGGGGATAGAACGGACTGAACAGTTTTATCCAAGTGACTGACTTGAGCTAGGTCCTGAAGGGTCAGAAGGATTTGGCTGAATAGAGGATAGGAAGGCTGGACACAGATGGCCATTATTGTCAAGGAAACATTATAAACAAACCCGGAGGAAGGAAAAGATACAGACTATACGTAGAATATTGACAAGACGAAAATGAAAGTCCTCAAGACCGTGCGTGATGCCACACTGAGGAGCCCGAAAGTCACTCTTTATCCTGTCTTGACTTAAAGACAGGACTTCTCTGCATTCCTTGGCACGCGCTATTCTCCAGGCCTGCAGGGGTCTTGTCTCTACCCCTCTGTCCCACCTGGCCACCACCACCACCCTTTTCCTGGTACGACTGGCTCCTTCTCCTATTTGGTTTAAATGTTCGCTGCCTCAGAACCCCCTACATATGTGATCCGCTGCCCCTTAAATTTCTATCACAGCATCTGTGATTTGTTTGCCTATAATGAATGGAACCACCGAGTGCAACAACGTGTTTCTCTGCCCAGCTCCTTTGCCAGCACCAAGCGTCACAAAGTCAGGGACCATGTCCTCTGGGTTAATTTACAATATCTCCTTGACAACAATGGCCACCTCTACCCATCCTTCCTATCTCTATCCAGCCAAATCCTTCCATCCAGCCAAATCCTTCCATCCCTTCAGGAGCCAGCTCAAGTCAGCCTCCCCCGTGAAACTTCCAGCCCATATCTGACAACAGTGCATCGAGAAGGGGAGAGGGCCAGACAAAGAGCCCCATAAAGCATCTTCTTTTTAAGCAGGCAAAGAAAATAGAAAGAACCCTGGGGAAGACAGGAACAGGGGAGGACAATGTCCCTGACCCCATGAAAGAAGAGAGTTTCAAACAGCAGGAGGCAAACAGCCTTAGAAACCAGGCAGAAGTGGAGTGGGGTGAGGGCAAAGGGTGCTCCACTTAGACAGCACCCACGATCTTTAAGGGTGGTAGGGATGGAAAGCAAATTGCCAGGATTCAAAGTGAGCTTTTGAAAAGCCTGGGGGGGAAAAAAAATGTAAAAAGAAGAGAAGTAGCTTGTGGATAAGCATGGCAGAGATATGGATGGTTGACAAAGGAGAGATTAAAGACAGGGCCAGGAAGGAGCAGCTGATGGTGCTGAAGCAGGCGACTGGGAGGGGATCATTCGCGAGCCTTGTTAAAGGAAGCTTCAGAACATTCTTCACAGAACAGCCAAGACCGCAGGAGGCAGTCGCCTGGCTTTACATTTGTTGTTTCCTCACAGGTTGAAACAATGGCGGAAAGCCATAAAAAAGACCTGACCGGCAACGAGCCTGCGCATTATTAACGTTAGTAACGCGGTGAGGCACGCAGCTGGGGGCGGGGGAGGAAGGAGTCGCCTGCATGGCGAAGGGCAATGCCACCCGCTTGCCTTCTCGCCCAGATATCTGTACCCAGATAAATCTACATGGCTCTCACTCATACACTTGTGAAATCTCCCCCCGTAATACCATAGCCTTTCAGATCCAGAAGGGACATTAAAAATTATCTCATCATCAACAAAACGGACCCACGTGGAGGATGACGTTTTCCTCTCCCGACTGCATTTCCTTCTTTTCTCTGCAGGGTAATATTTCTCTCAGTAAAGCTCACCTTTGCACTGACATGTGACAAAGGCACAGCCAATAAATAGAAAGTCTTATCTTCCCATCTCCCAATCTCGAACTGGTTTAATAATTCACTCCCTCTCGGTGCCTTAAAAACGGGTCCTTTATCTTCGAATTCATCTGTAAAACTGTTCTCTTCTCCCACTTGGTAAATGGACTCCATTTATCACGCATTTTATGGGAGCTTATCTACTCCAAGAGAAGTTTGATCAGATAACCTGGTCCTTAGAAAAGCAGAGGAAGATTGCTAGGAATGGCTTCTATTGTTTGAAAATCTCTCTTTGATCTGAATTTTTTAGGAAGGTTATAAGATGTTGCCAGGGTCTCTTGCATATTTGATGGTCCAGCAAATTATTACCTGGGTCTCAGGGTCTGGAGAGACTTTGCTGAACACGCTCGCTGGATCTAATCCTTCAGAATGATTTGAGGATGAGCTTAAACCCCAGGCAGAGACTTAACATTCCTAGTTTAATGCTGTGATATAATATGACAGATTTATACATTGTTCTGACCTAATGAAATGCAAAGAGATGAAGTGTTTTATTTACACGGTAACCTCTTATTTCAACAGTTCACTGGCTGTTATATAGGCTTTCTTGGCCTCGTCAAAAAGGCCCCAGGATGCCTTGCTGTGAGTCCTGCAGAGCAGCCTCAGCAGTGCACAGAGACCAAAGCAGTAGGCCGTGAAGTCAGGAAGAAAACAACAACATAAACCAACAGACCTGGAAACTTCCAGTCCTCAAGGGCGTTTGTAGAACTCTCTACCGCCCAGATGTCCTTTCCTCTGGCAGATAGAGGTCCCTAACCTTTTTGGCACTAGGGACCCGTGCTCCCATGAGAATCTAATGCCTGATGATCTGAGGGGGAGCTGAGGCGGTGATGCCGGCGCTGGGGAGCGGCTGCAAATACACGCAGAGCTTCACTCGGTTGCTTGCCACTCACCTCCTGCTGTGCAGCCCGGTTCCTAACAGGCCACAGACCGGTACCAGTCCATGGCCTGAGGGTTGAAGACCCCTGCTCTATCTGGATACAGAAGACACACAGTAAATGCTTGTTGAATGAATCCCTCCCCAGGTTCATCATTCACTCAACAAACGTTGTTGATCATCCTTCAGTGATCCCTCTGGGAGATACAAGAAAGTGTGTACAAAGACGAAAGGGCTTCAGTGCCGCATTCACAGAGGAGGCAGCCTTGTGAGGAAAAACCAGACGAATACTCAAACTCGATGTGCTACGCATGCTCTGTGATAGAGAGCATAACGGATGTTAGGAACAGGGACAAGGAGGAGAGATTAACTAAACTAAACCTGGAGAAGCTGAAGAAAACTTTAGAGAATCATTTCAAATGGAGATTATTTGGGCTGTTATGGACCAGACTCCTGTCTGTTTGGTTCCGCTCCCCAGGTAGGGAACATGGGGAAAGATCTGTGCTTCTCACCGGTGCTCTGGCTATGACATTGGAGAGTACAGGAGTTCTTCTTGGCCATGACTCTTTGGGAAATTTGAAAAGCGTATGAGTGAGTGTGATAGAGAGATGCTGGCTCACACTGTCTTCCAGAGTATGACCAGGATGAGATGTGCGGGGTAACAGCAGGCACCTGAGGTGACACTGTTCGTATTTACGAGAGCAAAGCACATGCCCCCAGTGGGTGTTTTGGTGTTTAGGTGGTAGCAACTGGATGCAAAAAAGCTTTCTTCCACACCGACATGGGGAAAACGAGGGGAAATGGTTTGCTCCAACCCTGCTTTTGAGAGAGAGAAGAAAAAGCAGACCTCATGCTAAAGCAAAGCCTCGCTATTCAAAGGCCCAAGGACCAGCAGCGTGAGCAGCACCCTCAAGCTTGCCAGAAATGCAGACTCTCAAGCTGCAGCCCCAACCTACTGCGTGGGAAGCTGCATTTTAACAAGCTCCCCAGGTGATCTGCATGCAGGTTATAGTCCAAGAGGCCTGCTTGAGACCAGCGGGGTGGCTGAACTTTGGAACACCTGAGGAGCTGCTACCCTACCAATCCCGCCCCCAGAATTCTGATGTAAATGGTCTGGCTCCCTAAGTGGTTCCAAATGTGCAGCAAAGGTGGCAAAGCACATGGAGGCCTGCTGTTCCCCACGGGCCCCTCTGACAGCCGCAGGTCTGGGCGCTGCTTTCATGGGTTGGCTGCTACAGTCCCCTGAACCCCAGAGAGGTGGTGGCCCCAGGATGGTACAGGTACGTGGGGACCGAGACTAGCTGTTCACATCCAGGAACCCCCAGCTTACCCCTGCATCCGTCAAGACTCTTCACTGTGCATTTCAGGATGTGGAATCTCCATAGAAATTCATCATGATAGATCAAAACCTTAAGTCTGAATGTTCCATGCCTGTGTGTTTAGCTCATCCTCAAATAAATCAATCCTTTGCAATCAGGTTAGGGTCCTCTGCTATAGAAGGTAATAGGAGAAAGGTTGTCCCAAAAAGTTAGGAGACTAAAGTTGAGAAGCAAAGCCTCCCCACCAAAAAAAAATAAAAAACGAAAAGCAGGAGTTAGCCAAGGAAGCAGCACCCAGCGAACCCCTGCCGTGAGTCAGCACGGGGGAGCCCAGCCCCTTGCAGGGCAGGCTGGCCAAGGAGAGGGCTCAGCTGCCGGGCTGGGCTGTGTGAGCTGCTGCTTCTCGTCCCAAGACCAAGTCTTAAAGCAACTTTCCTTCCTCTGCTGCTTAAACTTTTTTTTTCTCCTGTGTCTGGAAAGAAGTGTCACATTTTGCTCACTCCCAACCCTCTTCCCCCACCCCCTCCCAGAGCCCCTGAGCGCGTGTGCGTGGAGGGGGTGCCGCGAGCCACCTCCAGCCTCCCGTGGCTGCTGTAACTAACTTCCAGCTCCTCTCTGTAACGCTATGAAGTTCCTCGGGAAGCCCAGGAGCCAGACAGCGGCTTCTCTGCCTCTTTGCCTGCTCTTTTTGAAGATCCTGCAACCAGGGCACAGCCGCCTTTACAACAACCGCTATGCCGGGTAAGTGGAGCGACCTTCATGCCCTGCGTGGCTGGCTTTTAGTCGGATGCGGGGCTGGTTCGGGCACTGAGCGTGCCTCCGTTTTTCTGTTCCAGGGTCTCTGAGTGAGTCTGTACACTTTCCTGGCCACCTACAATGAAATGGACGCGAGCTCTCCGCTCGTCGGTTTAGCTCTCTGAGGGAAAGCGGTGGGCGCCAGGCTAGCTGTTCACACTTCTTAGAGTGTGCCAACCTCAGCCGTGGTCCACTGTCCAAGGGGGTTCTGTCTTTGTAGTAGCTGTGCCCAGTATTTACCTTGGTTGAAGCTCGGTGGGAAGGATGCTGCTGTACCACGTGAATTATGACCGGAAAAAGTAAAGCTTCTTTTTTAGAATCGTATGCAGGAGCAGTGGGTTGAAATTCTCTGGTGATTAATTTAGGAAGTGAGTGTGATTTTTTTTTTTTTTTCTTTTTGGTGCTTGTTAGTCCACAGCGTGGTTATCAGAAAGATTTTCAAATCTGAGGGATGCAAATGGGTCAACTCAAAGAAGCAGAATAAAAGTAGCTAACTGTAAAATTATGGGTGTTCTTCTGAAGGTAGAAACAAAGAAGGAAAAAACAATTTTTTTTTTCTCTGTAGGTTATAGGTTAGCGTGCTGTGTGTTTGCCTCTCCTAAGGGGACACAGGGCGTCTAGAGCTGTGTGTGACTATGCACGTCTTCTTAAACTGAAGGCTTGCTGCGAAATATACAGCAT